GTTCAATTGTTGTAATACTTTGCCGTTTGTTTTTCTTCCTTTTTCATTTTGTTAAGGCAATACAAAACTTTTGTAAAGGCTATCCAAGACCAAAACTGAGTAATGAATGAAGTCATTTTTTGTATTTACTATACTCTGTGCATGTTGTCCCTTCCCCTTTCTTTCTCTCCTCTCTCTCTTCTTCTTTTTTTTTTTTGTGAGTTGTCCTTGCCCCTCCAAACAATCAAGACCACGATACACAAGGCACACGCGAGTTACTCATAGTATTTGTTTATTTGAGCATTTGTCTCAACTTATCAGGACATTGGGAGGTGAGGCAGAGTCACACGTCCGAAGTGAGGCTCACCCGACTTCTAAATCCCGTGTTAACTTAGGCAAGGCCGAAGGGACCTGGCACCATGGCCGAGGTATACCGTCGAGGTACTTGGGTGGATGAAGAGCCACAACGGAGCAGCACCATCGGGGTGTAGTTCCTCTGACTCGTTCTCACTAAGTGTTTTCTCGAGGAAGGCCGAGGCGTCCAATCGATGAAGCCAAGGGATCTATCTCGTTATTTTCTTTGCGCTAAGTGTGGATAGCCAAGAGAGTCACCACACTCCGAGGTGACGAGGTGCAACAAGCCTTTCGCCCTAGCTTGTATGTCCTGGGTGAGGTGTTGTTTTCCGCAATGGCTCGTGTTGCGGGTTTGTCCTTCGGGAGAGGGCTTCCCACATCGGTAGGTCCCGAGGCTGCGGGTCCTTTTGGACTTAGGATTCATTCATTCTATCATCTAAGGTGAAGAGGAACTTTGCTTCATTCATTCATTACTTCATCAAAAAATTACATTCATCTATAGTTCATTTGGAGGTTCTCCAAGTTCCACGTCTGAGGGAGGGGTCTTCCATCTAAGTTTTCCAGCCGAAACGTGCCAGGGCCGAGAGCTTGCTTAATTCGGTAGGGGCCTTCCTAGTTGGGGCCCAGCTTTCTCACTCCAGGTTCGGGGACCATGGCCTTCCTGAGGACAAGGTCTCCCTCTCTATAGTGCCTTTTTTTCACCCTAGAGTTATAGTAGTCATCCTAATTTATGCTTGTTCTCGGGTTTCTTCCAGTAGGTCTAAGTTCGTTCTGAGCGCCTCGTCATTCTCGGCCTCAGTATACCCTTCGATCTGAAGTGTTGGTTGGCCGATTTCTGTTGGGATCACTGCTTTTGTACCATAGGTTAGGCCGAAAGGGGTCTCTCCCGTGACTGTTTGAGGTGTGGTTCGGTAAGCCCAGAGGACGTTGTGCAGTTCGTCGGCCCATAGGCATTTAGTTCTATCCAACCTGGTCTTTAATCAGTCCAGGATGGTTCTGTTCGTAACCTTGACCAGGTCGTTCGTTTGGGGGTACCCCACCGAGGTGCACCATTCTCGGAATTTAGTGTCATCGAACTATTTTTCGTTGTTCGTAACTGGCACGTGGGGGAGGCCGAAGCGACAAATAATGTTCTTCCAAAAGAAGTTCTGAATTGCTCGCGTAGTGATAGTGACTAGGGGTTCGGCCTCTACCCACTTGGTGAAGTAATCCATAGCGGTGACGAGGTGCATCCTGCCTCTCGTTGCTTGGGGAAAGGGGCCGAGGAGGTCCATCCCCCACTTGGCAAAGGGCCAGGGGCTACTGAGGGCTGAGAGAGTGGTGGCTTGTTGATGGCAGAGGTTGGCGTGTCTCTGGCATTGGTCGTATTTCCGCACCAGCTCGGTCGCGTCCTTGTGAAGTGTCGGCTAGAAGTACCCTTGCCTTAATGTTTTCTAGGCTAGGGTCCGGCTGCCAAGGTGGTTGCCGCAGATGCCTTCGTGAATATCCTGGAGCACGTACTCGCCCTCCTCCCTACGGAGGCATCGGAGGTAAGGCAAAGTGAAGGACCTCCTGCACAGTTTTCCTTCTAGTAGACTTAGTGTGGTGCCTGACGTCGGAATCTTCGGGCTTCGTTCTTGTCATCGGGTTGCCTCCTCGTCAATAGGAAGTCGATGATAGGGTCCATCCAAGACAGTTCGACCTCTACGGTGAGGATTTGGGTGTCCTCTATGGAGGGCTGGGGTAACCTTTCCATACGCATAGTGCGGTCGAGGTGCTTGCCAATTTGGAGAGGGCATTGGGTCGGGTGTTCTCAGCTCACGGGACTTGCTGCATGGAGAAACGTTGGAAGTGGCGGGCTAACTCTTGAACCTGGGCGAAGAACTTAGCCATGCTTTGTTCTTTTGCCTCGTACTCACCATTGACTTGATTCACCACCAGTTATGAGTCGTTGAGGACTTCGATGTGCTTAGAGTCGAGATCTCTGGTGAGCTGTAACCTCGCCGAGAGGGCTTTGTACTCGGCTTCGTTGTTAGATGTAGGGAACTCGAATCTTAGTGCATACTTTATGACGACACCATCAAGGGTGAGGAGAATGAGGCCCGCTCCACTCCCTTTGATGTTGGATGAACCATC